TTAAGGTGCCGTTGATTTGCGAGTCCAAAAAAAAACCAACAACCCACAAACACCCAGCAATGTGCTAATATGCATCCTGACAAGTGAAACAAAGCCTTCTTTTCATAAAGCAGTCCAGCTGAGGCATGCTACTCCTTCCTTTTGAAAGGAGTATCAAAGAATAAAAATATCTGGCAGATTAAAGGCAAGTGCCTGCCTGTTTATGACAAACAGAGACTGAATGTTAATAAGCAGTTTCAGGAGAGGCAAAATGGAAGAGTATGCAAGGCCGCTGAGCCCGCATGCATGCGCGCTCAGACAGAATCCATCTTTTTGCTACAGCTGTCCTGTGCAAAGTCTATTTCCACTCAGATTCTGAGCACCAGTTTCTGACATCTGTGAGCATTCCTGGAGAAAGCCTGGCTTCTGGCTTCTGGAGCCATGCTCCGTGGGAAACCCAAGGTGCTGATCAGCACTAATTACCTGGAACCCCCTTTGGCATGGCTTTGGAAAAGGAGCGTTTGCCAGTGGCATTGATACTTGCTGAACAGTTTTATGGCATTTAGGACAGATGTTCAGGTCAAGGCAACCTGTTAAACATTGAAAATGCTGATTGCGCTGCATTTCCCTCCGGCAACATCGTCGTGTCTCCTTGCTTTGCTTTTGACAGTTGCTTGAGTCAACTCAGGTATAGTACACATTTTTTTTTGTTTACAAAAACAACAACCCTGGATTTAGGATTTTTTTTTTCCTGGGGGAGTGGAGAGAAAGATACAGTACAGCAACGCGTAGCCCTTCTGTAGTGGAGGGCTCTTTGTGGAAGGCCAGTTCTGCATCCAGCTCCTTTGAATTCAAAATTTCAGGATAGAAATAGATTGTTTGGATTATATAAATTTGTCCTCTTTGAAAAAGTTTTATGGACAGCCACAGCCTCCTCTCCACTCCCCCAGATGGTTTGTTTTCCCATACAAGAATTCTCATACAGGGCATTCTTGCTGTTCAGAAATCCAGAGTTTTACAAAAGAACTCACTGGATGGCCATGAGAGAGCTATGCTTTTGCTCTCTAAACAATGTCACCAGCTTTTTGTGAGGATAAAATGGTGGTGGTGGGAAGAGCACATCATCCTGTCCATAGCGTAAGCCAAGTCATAACTTTCAGTTTGGTGTGTGCGCCCCAAGAATCACCACAGGGACACTTTGTTTATCGGGGGGGGGGAAACAGGCCCAAAGTTACAATTTGGATTAGGTGACAAACAGGATGTCGGCCATTGTTAATTTTGCTGTGTTTAATGTGTAGTTATTACTCAGCTTATCTGCATGAGTTAGTGGGAGAGCAACCTCCTAAGAACCCATTTATTTCACAAAATCAGAGACCATTGGTAACGGCGCGGCTAAAGAATTCTTGTAAATAAATAAATAAATAAATAAATAAACAAACAAACAAACAAACAAACAAACAAACTGCAAAACAATGATTTCAAAATAGGCTTAGGGTAGCTAGCTTGTGACAATGTTAGGTTACTTTACCTCATCCTTTCTCTTTATAACAAGGAAAATCGACAATGAAAAACTGTGTGAAGTGGTTAGAGGATTAAGACTAAGACCTGAGATATACAACTCCTAACTGCAAAGCCCATCATCACTCTTTCGCAGTCTAAGCAACATCAACCAGCCTTTTGTTAGGAGGAAGTGTTTGGGTAGGAAGAGAAGCCATGAGCTTCATGCAAAAATAAGATGTGGGTCTCAAGTTTTAAGTTCAGCAAACATTGTCTCTAGCAGAGTTGGACCAGGTCTGTAAATTCTGCTGCTTTTGCTAATTGATTTCAAGGACAGCAAAGCTCCTGGTTGATTTTGCCACTTTTTCAAGGTTTCTGAATCCTCAAAGAGTTTCAGTCCCCAGTTTCAAGGGGAACAGCATTTGATCCTAAATGAACAGTCATCCTGTCCATATAGCTGGCAGTGGAAAGCTGTAGCAATTTGAGATTCTGTGACTCATGGATGTATGGCCTTGATCAGGACCTCACTGAGGTTCAGATACAATTTAGGTTAGGAACAGATTTGGACCTTGGGAATACTTACCACAGCAAATAGGCTGAGGCCAAAAAAGAAAAAAAAAGGAGTAAAGAAAAGTTATACAGCTTTACTTTCTGTTTTGAGACAGATCCAGAAAGCTGCTGCTGAAGGTAACGAGCTTCGGTGTTACAGCTTGGGTGCAATTTTCCCATAGATGTGTTTTTACAGCTGTGGTTAATGTGTGACTAATGCTTAGCATGGAGTAACCCATAGAGCCACTCCTTAGGAAACTGTACAACTTTGTTAGTGCATGGGAGGGAAAATGGGTATGAAATCGGCGACTTCTGAACATGCAGGATTTATGCTTCTCAATTATTATTTTTCTAGCTGGCTTTAGCTGAGCACATTTTACTATGAGCTGTTATGTCTGGCCCTGGTAGGTTTATGACAAATATCATGGCAATACAGCACAGAGAAGTGGAACGCCATCAAATATTAATGCCCGTAATAAAGCCAGCTTGCTTCTTTGGTTGATGGTCTTTCAAATAAGGACTAAAAAATTCAAGCTTTCCAGGACTCCAAGGAGACCACCCAAGCCTAATAATCTTGCTACTAGCTTTAACGTGATGAAGAAAAAGCTGGAACACATTCGGAGATATACAACCCCCTCCCTCCAATAGCAATGCAGTTTCACTTATGATAGAGGGAGGGGAAAGAAATCTGCATACAGGGATAGGAAACACAAAGTTTCAGTTTGAATCGATGATGACTCCAGAGACACTACCCAGAAACTCTGTTGTTATCCAAGAATCATTGAAAACTGAAACATGTATCATGAAGCATTCACTGTATGCACACAGATATACATATAGTTGATCCGCCGTGCACACTGCTGTTGTTGTTATATGGAATCAACTTATAATGACACTAAGAGGACTTTAAAATTGTGAGATATTTAAGGAGTAGTTTCACCAGAATGGCATTAAAGTAGTTCTGTAAACCAGTAAACCATTGTCTGGGGAAGAACTTGTATTGGACAAACACATTTAGAGTGAAACACCTTCTATTTTGACGTCACTGCTCCAGAAGAGTTTGTGTTCACCAGTTCTAATGAAAATACTTGAGGTGCACTGCATAGCTAGCATTCCAATGAAGTCTGAAAGCATAAGGCTTAAGCACCATCAAAGGCGGCGGGGGGGGGGGACGGGACACACCATGCATTTAGGTTTATCAAATTTGATCTTGAAGCCTTAGCAGAAGAATATTTATACAGAAGCATACAGCCATTGGATCCTGTATTGCCAAGAGTTCTTCCAGGCAACTGGATGGAAAATCATACTGTTATTCTGTATTTTCTTCCATAGTGTTTGAGGTGGGCAGAGAATGGAAAGGAGAAAAATAGATGGAAAACATTAGAGTATTAGATTCTACTTGGATTCCTTCAATGCAGTGCAATGGGATGATATCTTAATTTGAGTTTTAATTCTATTAAGGAGAAAAAGTAGTCTCACAGGTGATGTATCAAGCCAGATGTTACTCTACTGCCATGTTTTAGGGTTTCACTTCACTGGGGCTCATTTTTTGGGTAGGGCTTATTTTACGAGCATCCTGAAAAATCATACTAGAGCTTATTTTCAGGGAAACAGGGTACTATGGATCATTCCCAACTACAAGGGAGCAACCAGACTTCTAAGAAGTGCAAACCACCAACCCTTGCTATAACAAAGAATTTAGGCACAAAACCCCCCGCAAGCTGTTTACTTCCGAGTTCAAACCCACATGTTCACAACTTCCTTTCAAAAGCTCAAGAAACTTGACTGCCACATAGTAAAGCCATATTTTTGCTGCTGTGGGGGTGTACTGTCATCAAACCTAAAATAAGTTCACACATAGTATTATTAATGCTATTCTCTTTATCATCATCTAACCTAAGCAATTAAGGGTTTCGTTTGATAAAGTGTATTTTATTATGAGATTATTACCTTTTTTGTCACACACAGATGGAGGGGGAAAGGCAAGCATTGAAAGTCACTTTTATCTAAGGCACCTGATGAAGTAATCGTTTGGTCTCATTCCACATATACTTCTCTACTCTTCAAACTGAACAAATATTAAGAAGCCAGTGCTGCAGCTATAAAAAGCAACTTAAATCTGTGTCTACCACTTATGATTTCTGTGCAGGCTGGTGGGTGACTTGGGCCAATTTCTACATGGGTTTTTGAAAACAAACAGATAAGGTACTGGTATGGCCTCGGAGGCCTTTTTTTTTTTGCTGGAGAAGTAAGACATCTAGCAGCAGGGCTCCCCTTTAACTCCAGGCACACAGTTACTTGTTCCACCCCACTGAAGAAATCAGTGAGCCTATCTTTGAAGTGAAATTTACAGAGATGGGACCATGCTGCATGTATTTCAATTGACTTCTTCTATCTCTAGGGAAGGAATGTGCCAAGTTCTCTGGCCTGATGCAAGATGAGCCAAAACAAACTGAAAGGCTAACAAGCCCAGCACTTTGTTCCTGCCATGGTCAGCCCCAGGCCTCTTAGGAATTTGGCAAGCAGGACTGGAGCGCATTAGTACAAACTACATTGGACTTTGAAGCTCTGGGAAGGAAGGGCCACAAGGATGATCAGGGACTGGAAACCAAGCCCTGTGAGGAAAGACTGGAAGACCTGGGCATGTTTTAGCCTTGAGAAAAGAAGACTATGATAACACTCTCCAATTACTTTAAAGGCTGTCATGCAGAGGAGGGGCAGGATCTGTTCTCAATCATCCCAGACATGCAACCATGGGCTCAAGTTACAGGAAGTCTGCTTTCCGTTGAATATCAGGAAGAACTTCTTTTACTATTAGAGCAGTGCAACAACAGACCCAGTTACCCCAGAGGTGGGGAGTACTCAGAGGCTGGAGGCATTCAAGAAAAAAAATTTAGACAAATATTTTAAAGAAAGAAAGACAGACAGACAGACTTGGGGGGGAAGGAGTTCAGGCAATGAAACGAGACAGTGCATTTTGGCAGGCCACCTTTTTATTGCATGTGTATGGTTTATGAAATACAAAAATCCCAATTGAAGTACTTGCACTTGGAAATTAGAAGTTAAATTTGCACTATTCAGAGTTACAGGATTCCAGTTTCTGCTTGACCATTAAAAGAAACAAAACACAGAAGCACAATTTTATTGATCTTGCCAAACAGAAGTGAGGCTCTGAGGGCAAGAACAATGTTTTCATACATAAAAAGGACATACCACCACTTAAAACCTCACTGTAAAAAAGGCAGTTACATATAGTCGCTATGTGTTGAATGCAGGTCAAGGGAGGACAAGCCAGGCTTCACAGGCTGAAAAGGTGTTTAATCCAGTAGTGTAACCATCAGGAGCTTTTTCCGCCAGGAGAAATAGGGAAGGCACCAACAGTGTGGTTGGCAGCTCATGATACTGCTTTATCTGAAAGATTTCTCTCTTCCCCCCACCCCCACCCCAAAAAAAGTTTAGGACTATACACTTGCATACAGTGCACTATTGTCAACTCAATTTTTTGCCTACACTTTCACTAGGAACAGGGAGCATCTTGCAAGCCAACAAGTGTACATGGTGAAATGAAGAGAAGCCTAAAAGGTGGATGAGTGTGCTATTCTTTTAAAAAAACAAACTCCAAAGCCTTTACAGAACACTTTTTTAGTATATTTAACATCCATGTCATCCTGTACATTACAGAAATCATACATCTGCACTAATTATTCTACACCAGCAAACTGTTTTTCAAGAGAGCTTCTCCACTGCTCCACACACAATGTACTTAAAACACATTTAAATACTGCTTTCGAAGTGCTGAGATTCACTGATTTGGTCCCACAGATACACAAACCCAACAAGACCCCTATGTTACATTTTGGACACACAAAGGAGATGAAGGCACACGATCCATCATTAACTCCCTCTTCTACACAGAGCAGCTTCTGAAGACATTTGATCTTCAAACTCAGTTAGCGTTCGAACACAAGTTGGACTGAGATAAAAGTCAGCCATGTACAGAACAGATGCTCAAACATCACCCCACCCCCCACCCACCCCCGGCTCTGTATGCCGAGCCGATGCTCCCTGAATTCCTACTACAAATGCCTGTCTAATGTGATTCTAGTCCCTGGGACTTGGCAGCATCAGGCGGTTTTCGTTACCCATAGCATGCTCAGTCCTGTACGTTGCATGCCACACCCCAGCATTCTAAGTACCATGCGGTAAAGTCAGGGCTTGCAAATCCAGTAAAGTTGCTGCTATCAGGAAATGCAGAAGAGGTAGATAACAAGTGGTGGCCCATGAGCTGCTAAGGGGATTTTTTTGCACAGTGAATGAACAGGGGGTTAACACCAGGGTCAGAAGAACTAGAGAAGTACACCCATCTCAAATAATACCCGCACCTCAAGTGTCATTCTCTTACATTGCTTCCGACTTTGAAGCACAGTGTATATATATAAAAAATTATCCTATTGAATTCTACAGGAATCGCACCTAATCTGGCAAAGGCCACGGTTTAAGAACTCCACCACTTTAGACAAGCCTTTAAGTTTCAGAGAGACCCTTCCTTCTTAACACCACTCCCCTCTTTCAACTGCAATAGGGTGACTTAGTTTTATCCCTGGAAAAGAGAAAACCTGTTAAACATCATGTTAATAGCCTTTTTTTTTTTAAAAAAAGAACATTTTCTAAAGCACTCACTTGTGACCAGTAAATGTTGCCGAGGGGTGAGGGAGGGGGAATTGTCATAAGTATACACATATTGTACCTCATTAATTCCTTGGCGCTTTCCTAAGACGTCAAGACTATATACAATCAGTTCCTTATCTTCCCCCAGGAGTCCTTAGACAAGACAGAGTTCCCACATGACAGGGAATCTTTGTGCAAGAAGGCAGGTAAGGGTTTTATTCATCCAGAATGACTTTGGAAAAAATAGAGTAGCAGTAGTTCCAAATGTCAAGGAGGCACAAGGCTTAAATTCAGTCTTATGGCTTTTAGTTTTTTTTCCTCCCCCCCTTTAAAATGCAGCGAGAACTCAGGATGTCCAGAGACAGAAGAAAACTGTATTTCAAGTCCAGCTTTTTCATGCATAGAATTCTTCTTGTTTGTGTGGTTTTTGATAGCCTCCATTTGACTGTTTTGGCTCATCCAACGAATAGCTTCCTTCATCTTTTTTCTTCATTCTGTACAGCATGAACCCAACGAGGAATCCAGCAAACAATAAGCCCACGAGTCCACCAGCAATGACCCCTGCAGAAAAGGTGTGGATTAATGTTTTCAAATGAGAAATAAAGGCATCCACCCTTCTCCTCCTCTTAAATAAGACATGGGTGCTTTATCAATACCAGAGGAGTTTGAACAAGACAGCTGTTTATGTGGAAGACGTCTAGCTCAAGACTGAGCCCCTTGTGCCCCCAACCCCCACTGCAGATGTTTGACTGTAAGTCTCATGATCCTTCACCTTGTCGTTTGGTCTTAACAGAAACTGGAGTCTAACAACATCAGGAAGAGGACATGTTCCCCATCCTTGGCCTAGAAAGGGTTCCCAAATGGGCACCTTTCTGTGTGGAATATTCCTCCAAATAGCTGAAAATAAGTCACACTCCCATCAGAGTTTTCTTAGTTTATGCAACACTTAAACTCCTGACCATCGGGGGGAGGGGGGGAAGTGTAACAGGAATGGGTGGAATCTACCCATCGTGCAATCCTAAATAATGTCAGGGGGACATAGTATCATAACTTTCCCATCATCATCATCACCAGCAGTACCACATCCTTGGCCAAAACACAAAGTAAAGGACATTCGGCTGAGGGTTTTACTCCTCCATTTCCAACACAGGGAAGGAGGAGGATGAAAGCGCTTCCAGGTGATGGCGACAAGAGACAGCCAAGAAGCATAAGAACAGAATCTCTGCTATCACAGACCAGAGATAACAGCAGGGATTGCCCCATACACAGCTCACAACCAGGAGAGCGAGTGGGGTGCAAGGGACTCCCTGACAATACTGCTGATCACTAATTGGAGACATCCAGGACTACCCTCCCCACCAAAGTGGGGACAAGACTGACATATCAATTTCCAAGAACTGCTGGAAAATCTGTCAGGCCTACAAGCCAGACCACCCCACCTCAAGCAAAGTTCTATAGCAACTGAACAAAGTCAGTGCCATAAAGGAAAGACTGGCCTGAAGGGACACTATCATCCCACATGATGACAGGCAGAAGGAAATGGATTAGTGGATTCCCCCTCACACACACCTTTTTTGTTTTTGCAAGGAATAAAGGGCTACCATATTCACCTGCCATACAAAGAGCTGAGAATCCTACCCAGCTCTTTGTCCAGCCACTGTGATTCTGTCACATTGCTAGGTGGGACCAGCATCTGGACTCAGATGCACAGGATCCATCTAGCTTCAGCCATTTGTACTGTGGCCTCTGTAACCATTCTTAGCAACTTTCCCGTTAGATCAGAAGTACAGCCCCTCAAACCCAAGCTTCTGTGCCACAACAGGTGCACCAGAATATCATACAGCAATCTATATTGTGCACTTGGCAGTTCCAACATAGATGGGAAGTGAGGTAACACTGAGCGCAGCCAAAGAGAAATAGACACACAAGTATTCCTTCAAGGACTCACATACCTCCAAGGACTTCTTTCCTGTCCATTATTCCCTGTGGGGCTCCTGCAGACTTTTCGTCCTTCACTCCTATACCCACTCCCGTTTTGTCTATTTCAGCTTCTTTTTCACCATGTCGAGGAAACACGAAATCTCCCTGAATGAAACAACATATCAGTTACATTTCACCTATTTCACTTCAGTGCACCCATGTTTTCATACAGTTATGGATTCTGAAGGCAGCCATACTTATTAACAAAGCACACTGATACCCCACCCTCTGCATTTAAAGCAGTTTCAACACCTAAACTAAAAACACAAGGATTATGGCCTTACCGGATCACCAGAACTCTCTTCAGTCTGTGTAATTTCTCCTTCAGGTGGAGAAGAGAGATCCTTCTGGACAGCAGAGGACCCTGTAGTGGAACTGATAATATCTGGACTTCTCTCGCTAGGTGGCACAACCGCAGAAGCAGGTATTTTTTCCTCCGGGGTCAATATGTGATGAATATTATGGTAGACTTCAGGCTCACCAACTTTTAACGTGCTAGAAGCTTGCGAGGTTGTGAGTCTGACAGTAGAAACATGGCGAGTGACCGGGAACCCTGTCGTTACAACTGCGGACTGCGTTCCTTGCTTAGAAAGCGAGTCCAGGGCATCCTCTTCAACAGGAGCTCTGGGCTCGCCAGGCGCCATACCTAAAACGTGGAACATAGAGGGGCTTGTAGTGGTGGATCCTGCTACAGTTGTGTGGTCTTCTGTAGAGTCTTCTGTTTTCTGAATCTCAGGCTGATTATCTCCAAAGGCAGTAGACAGTTCTGGCATCAAAGAGGTACTTGTGACGTCCCAAACAGCCACAGGATGGTCTGGCAACGAACCTAAACATAAAAAACATGTTTTAGATAACCTTCAGAGATCCTCTAGAACAGTTCTGTATCAGACAACATATAGCCAAGGGCTCCAGGAGCTTGAAACTCTGTCTCCTTCACAGCTCAGCTGCACTCTGTGACACCCCCCCCCATGCTACTCCTTTCTAAAGGCTGAGAGGATCCCACATATTCACACTCTTGACACAGCCGCCTAAGAAGAACTAAAGACCCCCTTGTTCACTATTAAATTTGTTTTTCCCTTACATAAGCTAAAAATCCATGTTAAGTTCTTTCTGTGTTTGTTTGTTTTTAAAATTACACTCAGTATGATAAGGCCTAACGTAGCCTTGGGGATACCACAATGACTCTGCCCCTAACAGGACATGCAAAGCTACCAGCTACAGGGTTACTATAACTACCTAGGAGGGGAAAGGGTATCCTTCAAACAAGGATCAGGACTGGAAAAAAAAAAAACCAGTTTAACCATCCTGCGTAAGATGGACATGCTCACTGGCTGACTACCAATCACCAAACCTTAAGCTAGCCTATCTCACAGGGTTGAAAGAATAGAAGAAAAGGGGGGAGCGACCACTACTCTGCCCTGCCCTGAGCCACTACGGAAATGGAAAGATATCAGTGTAACAAGAAATAAGTTACATGAAATGGTTTGCGCATGAAAAAGCATTAGGACTACTGTGTAGCTCCTCGCCCTCCCCATCCCCTTTCTCTCTCACACACAAGTCAAAGTGAATCTAAATAGCATTTCTGTCAGTCAAGAAGGCTTCTATTCACAGCATCGCAAGCTCCAAAAACCACACTCACCGGAGCCGGAGAAAGCGTCATAATCGTCTCCAGATGAGTCCTGGTCTTCAGGGGGGAGACTGATGTCAGCTGGCTCCTTTAGAAGAAAAAAGAGAGAGAAAAAAAAAGAAATTGCAGGATATATTCACTTGGTCATATAGAAAAAGTTATGAAGCATTTCCAAAATGTCCATCGTTATGAGTACCTGTGGAGGGAAAGGTTTGATATTGCTAAGACCCAAGGTGGCCTAAAAGGGCAGAGCAGGTCCAGGTGCTTTACACACTTGAAAGTTCATGCAAGTCTCCAAATATGCACCTCTGAAAAGAGCTGGGGGGGGCTGCATCCAGGTGGATCATCAACCTTCTATTTAAAGATTTCCAGCAATAGTCCATCATCTTCTGAAGCCCACTGTTTTTCCTGCAATTTGATACCAAGGGCTTAAGCCCTTATAATCTGCAGCTGCAACCCATTTGCTCTGATATCCCTATGACAAGACCTTTAAATTCTTAAATATGGCTATCCTACCATCTATTAATCATCCTTCTGCCCCCCCCCGCTCACCATTTTTTGCCCTGCTCTAGACATATATCAGCCTGTCAAGAACCCTTTTACGCTGCAGAGGCGGGGCTTTGTTGCGGTGCTGCCAGTAGCTCCAGAGAAGAGCTCTCTCTGGAAAAACTGGAACCATCCGGTCCGGGATCCCCCTTTTTGAAATGGGGATCGAAGGAGAGTCTAGAAGAAGTCTCTCTGAAGCAGATGGTGAGCAGCAGAAGGAGAAGAATGGGAGGCAAACCCGGATTTCTTCCCTCTGAAAAAATCACCCAGCACGGATCGGAGCGGGAGCCATATTTGGCACGAAGCCGTGAGTAACCCTTTACCGGGGAAGAAGAGAACAACCAATATAAGCTTAAAATATCTAACAACTAAGTAAGCTGAAGCCTTTGATTTATGAAACAGCCCCATTAAGCTGAAAATCAGAATGAAAATACAGTGGTGCCTCGCTTAACGAGCGCACTGTAGAACGACAAAATCGCATAGCGATGAGGTATTTGCGATCGCAAATGCGATCGCATACCGATGGCCCCTATGGGCAAATTCGCTGGATCAGCTGTTCGGCGGCTCCAAAATGGCCGCCGGAAGCCCCCAAATGGCCACGCGCAGCATTTTCACTCCCTGCCCTCACTTACCGAGGGCACGAAAATGGCTGCCGGACCCTGGAAACATCACTGAACTGTGAGTTTTTTTGCCCATTTGGAATGCATTAAACGATGTTTAATGCATTCCAATGGGCTTCCCCGTTCCGTACAGCGAGGCACCACTGTATTTGGCTGAAAGAAGAAAAGCAGCGGCGAGCCTATCTTATCAGTCTGTCTCAAAAGCGAAACTAACTCTCCTCCCCAAGTGAACTCCTAATATAGCAGGCTGATTTCAAAGCCAAGAGAGTAAGATGGAAAAATCAATCTTATGTTTCTGGAAAAGAATCCCAGATGGTAATGCCATGACAGGATCTAAGAGACTTGAGTTTTGTGAATGCAGTTTGGCTGGGACAGGTTTCTCTTTGCCTTTTCCTAGACTCTGTGAACTGTTAGTAACAGAATCTGGTGGTTCTCTGGAGAAGAAAGAAGGACTTTACAGATGTTGTGTCTTGTGACTGAAGCTTGGTTATTTTCTTCTGCTGTTTTTCCCCCCTTCCTCCTCACTATGTTATTAGTAAATACTTCTTTGTCTTGATTGCATCTTTCCTAGCTTTCTTGGTCTTGCTCTCCCTATAGCAGGCATGAAGTCAGGTAAGTATCTTGTATCCATTCATGTATGTATGTGTGCGCGCACTTTGTATACATTACTTTATATGTGATTTTCTGCACCATGGCCACCTAAGGCCATGGAGAAAAGATATCAAATACAAAATTAATGTATATGTGTAAATTATATAATGAAACTTTATAAATCAGCTGATATTAAAATGTGGACACATATCTCAAAGCTGTAGGAAATAAAATAGCAGTATGACCAATAGAACTCATTAATTGATAACAGGGTTTCAGCAAGTACATGAAGGTCTTAGCAAAATAGAAGATCTGATGAAAGTGACAAAAGAGGGGACATTAGATGCCAAACAAAACTTAAATGAAGCTGCACAAACTTTAGAACCGTCTTTATTGGGCATGATACCAGCTAATATAGATGGGATAGAGAGCTATCCAGTGACCTATGCAGCTTCCAAAATTTAAAAGAATTATGTTAAAAATCTCAAGAAAGCAGAGATACTGAAACAAGAGAATCTTATTGTGAAAATATGGGAAGTAACAAAAATGGATATTCTGTCAGATGGGCTGAAAGGCTGTTCAATTCAAAAGGAAACTGAACGATGGGATGTACTGTATAAATGGCTGCAGTTATCAGATAGTGTTGGAGTAACATAGAATTAAACTAAAATTAAATGATAAGATGAAAGCAGGAGGGTAATCAAACTGTGAAAAAGCAAAAAGTTGTTATTGTAATAGAGCATACATTGAAATGAGAACTTAAATCTGGAAGGCAGAAAATAGTAAAAAGAGTAATCTGGAATTTTGATATGGCAATATGTATAGAATGGATGTTAGTATGTTATTGTTTCTCCTCTTCCCTCTTAACCTCAATTCCCTTTTTCCTTTTTGTCACCCCTTGTTAAAAATAAAAAGTTTTTTAAAAAAGGAAAAAAAAAAGAACCCTTTTACGCTGCAGTAACCAGTGGTGGATGCAGCATTCCAAGCAAGGTCTTGAGAAAGAGTTATGATTACTTATTATCATCTGGGCAATTTATCCATTCGGAACACTGAGGATTAAACACTAACTTCCCTTAGAAAACACACCTTTAACTAAAACCCAGCTTACAATCAATGCTAAATATGGATCTTTCCACACAAATATGATTTTAAGTGAATTATTATCCGTTTCCACAAAATATTAGACAACAAAGTACAAGACATCCTCACAGATCCTCATTCAGGCAGACATGGAATAAAGACCACGTAGATTTCCAACTCCTCTTCTGTAGCAGTACAAAAAGGCTTCAATGGCCACATCGTTGACCAATTAAGGAGAAGAAGCAAGAAATGGGAGGGGAGGAGCAGAAAAGGACCTGCAGTTTCATGACCAGAGGCTATCTGCACAAAGTCATTCTCACGTGAAGGCATTAGCAGTCCTGACGGCTGATGCATGCTTTCGAATGTCTGCTTCAAAGTGCATTTGGTCCTCACAGACAAGATCACCCTTATTTCCAGCACTTCATCTTCCCAGTGTGGGAATCTGAAGTTCCACACACTGCCGCAGACCAGGGATAGGGAACGTCAGTAGATGTGGGGGTCCATCCACTGTACGTTTATTAATTCTCTGTTCCACCAACATTTTGGCAGCAAATTAAAAAGACTACTTTAAAACATTGGCTCCTCAATGAAATTAAGCTGTATTGTTTTGCCCCTGACATTTTGGCAGCTGGGATTGGGAACTGCCCAAATAGGTTTGGTGGGACAAATGCCGTCCACCCTTGCTGCAGATCCTATTCAGTCCATTCTAAGCACCACAAACCTGTGCTGGCACAGCCACCTGAAAGAGCTTCTTGTTCTCTCTCACAGCAGCAGCACAGCAGCAGTGTTAACTTTTGATCATACAGTATAGGAGAAGGCAAGAAACACCTGGTGCTATCTCACTCTACAAAATCTGCAAGAGAAAGCAAAGCAGACTGGAACAACGCACCAGAAGGAGTACATCTGCCTGCCTGGGAACAAGGAGGGAAAATTCTCAGAGGGATCCTTCGAGAAGACCCTCAGCATGCAGCTCAGAGAGAAGTCAGTACTGACTACTAGCAGAAGCTGTAGTAGAAAGGAATTTTGCACCCTGTAGATTGATGAATTCTCTCTTTTTTTCCAACCTTACAGTTACAGAGTTCTAAACACAAGGTGATTTTAGTTATACAGTACAACCAATGTGAATTCTGTTTGGAAAATTCTTGTAGGTTCTTGTTCTGTGCAGGTGTTAGTTTAAGGGGAGGGGGAAACCCTGGAGTTAGATAGCTACAGGTGAGATCTCTGGGTAGACTGTGTAGGCTCACAGTCTTCTTGTGAGCTAGCCAGAAGAACTTGTTACCATCCACCTCCGGGCAATCTGACTGCACAAAGCATACCTTAAAAGGCAGTGCTGTGAGTTCCAACATGGTCTGTTAAATGCTGACGATGGAGAACCTCACACAGTAAGCTTCTTCCACCTGGAAATTTTCTTGGCTCTTATAGCCCTGCATTTATTTTTCTGCACAAAGGATCCGAATCCCACATGCTCACCACAGTAGACTATGTGGCACTTACAAGGGCACAGCAAACTACATTATTCCAAGGCAAGGTCAAATCACCTATTTTAAAAAACACATTTGAGTCAGTATTTTTAAAAAAATATCAAGATTTCTCTTAACAGCTAGGTATATATTAAACTATCTCGATACAAACAGCACATTAGCCTGAAGTTACAAGTAGAGGGGGGGGGGGTCAGCCTCTGGACTGAGCCTGGTGAGTAATCAGTTCAGTCAAGACCACGCAGCATTTAGTTAAACTGCCCTTTGGAACAGCGAACAGCCTTCAGGTAGAGGAACTTGAGCAAAAGTCCAGCAGAGACCTGAGGAGCCAAATCATCCTAAAGTCTAGCTGACCTGGGGTACCAGCAATTTCAGGGCCCACCAGCAGACAGGATGCTGACTGGGCCTCGGAACAGAATATTGCAAGCATCATGGTAGCCTCTGCAGTTCACTGTCACACTGAGATGTGAAAGGCAAATGAAGTATCGTATCACACACACACACACACACACACACACACGGCATCATCCAAGCACACCTGTTGTGATGGCTACATAAGAATCTAAGGAGGCTTGGCTGCCATGAAACTCTAGGTGGAAGTTATATGAGAAACCTGCAATGAACAGAATATTATGGGGCAGGAAAAACCTACAATCCAGTAGAGTACTGAGAACAATGGCCTTTCAGATGCCTCCTTTAAGTGCTTTGCCCAGGATCTGGCCAAATGGAGGTAGATACTCGGCAGAATATGTTTTATTTCAGCAAAGATTATG